AGTGGTGAAAATACCAGCTTGGTGCCTTGGAAACCTCAGTCTGGCTGGGTGTAAAATGGGGAAGAGGCGGCGGAGGGAGGTGGTTCCTGAGGCAGCTGAGATGAGAGACGAAAGGGGGCAGTGGGTCTAAAGATGAACTTAGTAAATATTAAAGAGGAAAAACTATCAGGACTTAGCGGCAGACGTTACATTAGGGAGTGAGGGAGAGCTGAGATGCAGAGCTGGGCTGCTGGTGTGAGCTGTGCTCGGGGAAGCCCGAAGTTTGTCCCAGCAGAACTTCATTGCTCATCAGAAATTAAAAAGGAGAAAAGGAAGGAGGGAAAGGAAGAGGGAGATTGGAAAAAAGAAAGAGAAAGACTCCCCGACATGATTTTTTGAGTCCATTTTGGTCACCTGCTATTCTGATGCTCTGTTACTTAAGTGCTTTAAGTCTCTCGAGCCTCTGCTTACAGCACTTGGTGTACCTCGAACACAGAGAGAAGAATTAGGGATTCCCACGGCAATCCAAGGAGTTAGGGGTGAGGAGAGCAGAAGAGCTAGGTGATGGGTGCCTTTGCCACGATTCTTGAAGCTTTGGCCTTGCTTAAAAAAATGTGCCAAACGCTTGGTGTTAATGGGTGTCTTGCTAGGAGTAGAAACCAGTCGAAGAACTGAGTTTTCCATGTTGGTTGATGGAGGGCGAAAGAGAGACCACAACAGGTCAGTCCAAAAGGGGGCCAGAGGCAGAGGGCCCAGGCCAGGGCAAGGCCCCAGAACTGGCACAAGCCTATTCCGGAAGGCTTTGTAGGTTCAAAACTCTGGAACGGACAGAGGTCAGAGACTATTATTACACTTACACCTAAACCCGAGCATGGCAAGGCTACGCTACTGAGTTTGCAAAGACGGCAATATTCTACCCGTACAAGGAATGTCAGAAAGCGACACAAACCTTGTCAAGTTTTTAGACGTAAAAGGGGAGACAAAGGTCTCCATAAAACCAGCCCTGTGACTCAGCACCTAGAATCACTGTCACACATGCGAACTTTCTCCAAGCCCTGCAGGGGCCAGAGGAAACTCACATGCGAGCCTTCAAAACACTGCTCTTCGTGGCCTTTCCAAACTGCAAATGTTTGCTCTGGTGAAGCAGCTTTAAAATGTCAGGAATAGTTTAAACTTATTTTTCTAACCTCAAAGATAGGCTATTTCTCCCAAGACAGCTCTGAAATATTCAATGTTCCGTTTTTCAGAATGCTGAAATTGTTTTTGGAAGGCCAAAGCTGTGAGGAAAAGTTCAGACCTGGAGGGGCTGTGACACATGTGTTGCAAAGAGTCTGTCCCTCTGGGGTGTCTTTAAAGAGTCACTATTTAAAAACTAATTTCCTCCATCCTTGAAGGGCCCGTGAAATCTCCTACACTCTAAAACCCTTGGCCTACTCAGACCTCTGTAAAATGCTTGGGGTTTTTTGTTTGTTTGTTTGTTTTAATCCATGTGCCATGTAGTTTTCTTCCCGCACGTTTTTGCTTGTTTGTTTGTTTCCCTCGGCCGCACAACACTCCTACGATCGTCTGTATTTTTTCTTTTCACATGTGACAACGGAGAGTATATGCTGCCCTTGGTTATCTCGAAGGCACGTGGCATTGCCAATTGATAAGATGCGAGGCACACCGAAGACAGGGCCAGCCAACCACAAAAAGGGGGTCGTCGCCAAAGAATGAAGCAAATGAACAAGAGTTCAGTTTCAGTGACGGAGAAAACATCTCAAAGCCACTAGCGCACTGAGTGTGCTCATGACACCACCATCCATGTGCAGGACGCAATGATCTGTGTGAGGAGCTCTACTCCTTTGGCCATACGCTACCGATACTTTTTAGGTACGAAGGACGATCCATCCGTGATGCCACATCCAGAAGCACCTCCGCATGTGGCCTTTATCGTTCACAGAATTCTCTTGAAGAGCCATTGACGCGCTCTTCTCCGATAAAACGATGCTCAGAGGTTGGCCTCATCACGTCCCCAAGCAGCTTGGCCTGAGGTGTTAGGGACAGTCTGGGTCACGACGTCATTGGTCCCCAATTCCACAGCCAGGAGCCTCTCCCCAAAGGCTTTCAAAACATGTTTCCTCTGACGTGGAGGAAGTCGTCCTCCTCGCTGACACAAGTCCTCTTCCCGGAGTGGTCATCCCTGACCCCCCAGGAGCCCTGGACTGCTGACTTGCTTGGGACAGGGCGGTTCTCTTAACTCTGGCAGCCACAGGTTGTGAGCGCCGCACAGCTCACTGTTGGAGTGGCCTCCAAGGTCTCATGCCGAGGCTGGCAAGGGCCTGTGAGCGATATTCCACATTTGGTCTCCAAATCAAGAACCTCCCGTGGTTCCTTGAAGAATAAGGCTCGAAGCCAAAGCAGGTGCAAATCCAGCCCAGACACATGTAGGAGCTACACACGTGGCGTGAACCGTGACTCTGGCATGGAGAATTTCCAAATGGTGGCCCATGCGGGGACAATCTGATGAACAGCAACCTATCAGCGTAATCCCAGGACGTGGAGGAGCAAACGGCTGTGTCACTCAAACGCTACACTAAATGAATCACTTCCTCGGCCATCAGGCTCCATGGCCTTCAAGTTGGTCCTGCTGCCATCACCACCAAACCCCGGAGGACACACGTGGGCTGCTGTCAGTGGAGCTGCTCGGGTGACAGCTCCTTCTGTTAAATCACCGACTCGTCTCCCGTTTCTCCGAGCTGCCCCTGCCTACTTTCTAGGTGGTTCCTTTCTCCTTAGGAATGGTGGGGAGGCTCATCCTTCTGGCTCCGTGGCTCTCTCCTTGGAGGAGGAAAGCACGATGACCCTTCCGTTTTACCGGCACCGCCACTGACAGGCGCTCACCCCACCGACGACCCAGGAGCCTCACTGCCTGTAACGCTAGGCTCTCCTGCATGCTGCTCCCTGAGACCCCTCTCCCACGACCCTCTATGACATTGAAGTCGGTTCCTCCTCTGGGAGACTTGGGACACCGAGGAGTCGGTTGCTGACGTACCTGGTTCCACCTTCAGGATGGCGTGGGGTGGGAGGTGACCCCGAGGCCTGAACGGACACCATCCATGAAAATAAAATGACGTTAGTGTGTCAGTCACGAAAATGAATATGTGAGTGTTGAATTATCAAATACATAACTAGGAGGAGGAAATGAATGAAAAGATGGGAAAAGACCGTGGGGCCCCATCTGACCAAATGGCTGCAGCCAGGAAACCCTTGGCCTAACACCCAGGCTAGCAGGAGGCCGGCGTCTGCTCCTCCACCTGGGTCCTAGCTCTCACACCGCAGGGCAGTCCTCCAGGTGAGGTCAGGCCCCGGCTGTTGCCTTTACCTGAGCTCCTGACACCCTGTCCCCAAGCTGGGCCACTTCCTAAGTCCGGACTTGGACCTTTCAACCTTCTCTCCAGTTAGACCCCTTAGCTTCCCATTCTGCTCTCTCCGGCCCGGTCTCTTTCTCCATCCAGTGCTTTCGGAGTCGCACGGATCTGGGGCTAAATCCTAGCTCACACACTGGTAAGATACATAACCCTGGGTATGGAACCTACTGCATGCATCTGAACTCGTTTACTCATCAGCAAAACAAAGATAACGATAATATCCTCCTCGAAGGCCGTTCAGACCAACACATATTAGGTGCTTGAGTTGTTACCTTTGGATTTTGAGTTTTGATGGTTTTTCAGTAGGTTCCTTACTGAGATGCTGCCTGTCAGCATACACACCTTGGCTCTTTCCATGTTTAACTCCACCTCTAAATGTCAACACCCCAGCCCTAGCCTGGGGACAATGATGTCCCAGATCTTCAATTCATGACACATCCATTGCTCAATGCCAGAAATGCCTGCTCTCTTGGGTAAATCAGAGACATGGAATTTCAACTTAGTAACTTGAGTGAATGGCCCGACCATCCAACCGTTGGCCATGGATGCGATTTCACTGCGATTTATAACTTTCTGCAGTTTCTTTTCCCTCTAACTTTTCCATCCACGCCGGAGGCAGAATGCGCCTTCTAACACACAAACCGGCTCACACTGTCACTCCGCTTAAAACTCTTCTCGTCTCTCCACTGCCAATAACACGAAGTCCGGGGTTTGAGGATGACATTAAAAGCCCTTCACAGTCTGGTCCCCACTGATACTTCCAGACCCACCTCTTCCCACTCTCCCTCGACCCTCTGTTCCAGGTCGCGCGGATCTGCTTGCGGTTGTGCAAAGAAGCTGAGGGCTCTCGGGGTTCTATGCTTTGGCATATGTGCCATTCTTTTCGCTGCGAATGGCCTTCTTTTTCATCCCAAGCGGCAGATTGTCGTCATATCTATTCCATAGACCTCCTCTCACCCTGCAGAAGCCTGCACCCGTCTCTCCTCTCTGGGACCGATGTACTTTATGAACGTTTATATTTTTTGCGCTGGTTATATCACAGTTTCCTTGTTCGACAGCTGCAGAAACCGGATTTTACTCACATCCGTTCACTAAAACACTAGATGGGGCTTAGCGAGTGGGAAGTGGAGACTGGGGAGGTAGAAGGAATTTCCAACCGTCTACGACTGATCATCTGACCCAACATAGGGCTAAGAGAGGTGGTTGTTGGGGAGATTCCTGTACTACAGGCAGGAGTGAAAAATAACAAACACACCGTGACAACAAAGGGCAGGAGCGTAGCCTTTTTGAGTGGGAGAAGACGTTTGAAATATGTTTAAAGATAATCTGAGCTATTTCCAGGATTGTATATGGTTCAGAAAAAGAGAAACACAGTAAAGAATAGAAGATACACTTCAAAAATCACAGAGTAAGAAAAATAAATGAGCTTCATTTAAAATATGGTCAAAAGCACCACCAAAATGTCCAGCTCATAAAAACAGGAGTAAGCAGATTACTCTCAGATTTTCTTTTTAAATATTCCAAAAATTATATGCAACCTCTTATGGGCAAATGTGTTTTCTGGAGAACTGGTTCTTTTGGGGGGAGGGGCGGGGTGTGGTCGAAGGGATTTGGGACAAAGATGTTAAATCACCACCATGATACTCCATGCTACATCATATAAACCAACAGTCGGCAGTGGGAAAATCACTGTCAGAGAGATGAGGCTACGTTTAGGAATTTAACCACATAATCTTGCTGGACCACAAAAATTTTCTCCAAGTCCTGCCCTGTAAGGGAAATTATTAAACCCAGGAGAAAAAGCCAATCATTCAGCGAGACACAACAAGAACCCTTCGGAGGTGAGCTGCCCTTCCAAGGAGCTCAAGGGACAAGAAACACAACCGACACAGAATACACGTGCAACGAAAAACTGTGAGATAAATAGTGTTCCCACCGAGCATTAACACAAGAGGAAAAAACCAAAATCGACTGATGCTTTGCTAGTCAGTTTCCTCAGATGAGCAATTCCCTTTCTCACCAGAAGGTGGCAGTGAAGGTGCAGTTGAAAAAATATTTTTCCCTCCTGTTTTTAGAAGAAACTTTTTTTTTTTTTTAAAAAAGCAAGACAAAAAATTCTTGCAACTGAGAACTTTTAACCTTTGGAAATACAGATTTTTCGGGTTCTATTATTGAACGCAGTTATTAGAAATATCATGTCAGAATGACTAGGAATGGTCAGTACAGATTTCTATACTACAGGGGTTAAGGGGTTAAATAAAGTGGGGTTAAGGAGTTAAATAAAGCACATCTGATGATCTCGAAGAACTATAAAGCTGTCTAAAAGGTATGAACAGATGAGCTCATTATCATTGGGAGAAAATATCTGAAGGGTAATTGGAAAATAAAAAGAAAACTTACACATGCCCCCGATGGACAGAAATCATCTCAAGGCACCATATGAAAACTCAATTTCGTGTAGCAGGATTTAAGTTTGCAAATGTGACAATGCCCTCATCCATGCAATGAAAAGTCCCTTCTCCCACTAAAATAGAATATTTCCTATTTGAGAGATGATCGTAGGGGGCACACATGACTCACCTAGGATCCTACACAAGCTCGTGACAGAACTGTCTGCAAAACACGTTTCCTGACCCTTTATCAGCTTCACTACCTGCCTTTGAAAAGATGGATCTCCATTAAGAAGTCAAGCTAGCTAGGGCTTCTGCCCATAGGAAAACACAGTAAGTTCACGACAGGTTTATTTAAAATGGCTCAGAACTTAAAACGAGGAGAGTTTATTTTGAAAAGGGGGAAAAAAAAAAGCCTGATGTGTTCCTGGGGTCCAGTCCACAGGAACGCCTGCCAGGTGAAGGAGACCAAACGGGACCGTTTCCCACAAGAGCTGAGTGGGGAGTGGGGAGGAGGGGGAAGTGTACCCCAACACGGAGCCCCATCGAGGCCCTGGGCGGCACGGTCAGGGGAAGGACCGAGATGCCCCACACGCCGGGCCGACCAAGAGGAAACCGACGTTTTGTGGTCTGTGCTGGAGGCGTCGCTCACAGAAACAGTTTGCCCTGAATCCTGCCCCCGCCGACTTACGACGGCAAAGAACACGCCACCGCCGTTTCCAGGGTTCAGCCCCCCGACCCTAAACCGTCGTGGGAGCGAGCAGTGGAGGAACGATGTTAGGAGCTGAGGTTTCTCTCAAGAGAAGTCGGGTCTGTTCTGCAGGCTGCTGTGCAGGTGTAGGGCTGCAGCAACGGGGAAGTCCGCAACTTGGCAGCTGCAAAGTTCCGTCCCGCCCTCCTCCTGGCCCTTCAGTGACGGAGGTGTGTTCTGCCAGAAAACTCACATAGTTGTGGGTGGGGTCAGCTGGGAGGCTGGAGATATTTGTTCTTTTTTTTTTTTCAAAAAGTCTGTGTAAAGACTTCCAAGGGGTGGAAAATAATACCTCGGGGGTTAGCGAATTTCCACTGTTTGTGGAGCCAAAGGCACACTCTGGGAACGTGGCCCTGGGGTGGAGGACGGCCTGCCGGCTGGCTGGGCGGGCGGGTTTTTTTGTACCTGCGCCTGCGCCATGTGACCGGGCACAGCCGCGAAGGCCTCACCCTGGGGCTCTCTGGGTCACGGCCCAGGCAAGACTTGATTGAAGTGGCTGCAATGGCAGCTTCGCCAGTAGAACATGGAAATACACCATGGGCCCACGTGGGGAGCCTGCAAAGGGCCGACCTTACTTCTGAGAAGCCCACAGTGCCTCTGAGAAGCAGATCGAAGCCGTTTCCACAGCTCCCTCCCCGGCCCTGTGCAACGGACGTGTGTGTGTGTGTGTGTGTGTGTGTGTGTGTGTGTGTGTGTGTGTGGCTTATGATACGGCCTCAGTTTGGGGAACACCATGGGGCCGAGCTAGGACTTAAGACTCCATGTCTTAAAGAGGCAGAACAGCCAGAGATTAAAGCCAGGTCAGAGGAAGGTCAGGCTGAGGTCCAGGCATCTCTAGCAACACCGGGCTGGCCACGTGCTGCCCCCCTGGAAGTGACCACACTCACCTTTTACAGGACATCGGATCGTCACGTTTGCTCGCGGGGCCGCCTCCACGGTGCCTCCGACCACAACAGACAGATGGTCGTGCTGTGGTCCGCTGATGTGTCTTTCCGTGGCCAGGATGATGGGCGCCTCTTAATTGAAATGGACAGGAAGGTCTGTTAGGGTCAGGCTTCAGCTCCTGGTAAACCGGGTTGTGTCTGGTCAACTCTGATGAGCTCTCCGAGAGCAGGAGCAGAGGCCTGGCTCCCTGGACCCTCATGGGAGGGACAGGCCTGGAGGCGCTCAGTGGACAGATGGACAGATGGACGGACGGACGGATGAATGGACGGACGGACGAAGGGATACGGTCAAAGAGATAGCTACAAAGGTACATTGCGACAACCACGACAGACGATGAGGATATTCTGGTGATTTGAAAAAGATGGAATTCGATGTCTTGAAAAAGAAGGAATTCTTATGATAATTTGAAAAAGGAGGGATTCAGAAGTTTGCGAGAAGCAAAGAAGGCGTGGCGGGGCAAGAGCAGAAGCGGGTTAAAGCAGGACGAACACCAGAGGCACGTGGGGCTCGGGGAAGGCGACACCCCAGAGAGGATGTGGGGGGCATCCCTCTTCCAGGCTGGTCTCCCGACCCCACTGTGAGCAGGAGACCTCCCGGAGCAGGAGGTCACCCTTCCAGCTTCATCGCGCACGCACAGAGTGGGAACAATCACGTTTGGCGTGCTGCTCGGTTACCGTGTATTCTGGGGACGAGAACTGGGGACCGATCCTGCCTGGGTGACCCACGGCCCATTCGCTCCTGGGGGAGGGCCTGGGGCAGTGACAAGCTATCCTAAGATTTGAGAAGCTAGAGAGGGACTCGGCCTGGGGAACGGCAGCTGCCGTCACAGCACGTCCCCAGGCCCCTGTGGACCTGGCGTCACCTCTCCCAGGACTCTGGATGGTTCTGGGATGAACGTCAGGGGAGATGTGCACCTTGCGAGGGGGACCGATGTTCCTCGCAGGAGTTCCAGAGCCTGGGGACCGATGTTTTCTGGAAAGACGGTGAGGCTCACAGGCAAGCACGACCCAGGAAGAGCAAAGCCTGAGGGCTGCACGCATCGGGAACGCAGCCAGGGGAGGGACCCGAGTCCGCCACACGGATCCAGCTGGATTCCACCCCGCCTTGCCCCGCGGCCCAACCTCGTCCATTTGGGCCACTGACACCAGAAACCACTGCACAGGCAGGAGGCAGACGCCTCTCCTTTCTCGTTTTGAACCCCAGAACGTATGCCTGGCACAAGGCAGCACAGCTTACAGCTTCACCACCTAAAACACTCCTTCATGATAAAAGCACATTTTAATATTGAAATGGCATTGCCCCTCCCCGCAGAAGACACACGGCGATAGCGACAGCTGTTTTCTGAGGACCGGTGCAAACGCCACTGGCAGGTATGCACCAACCTGGAAGGGACGCTTATTCTCGTCCCTCGGCTGCTGGCACTTTATAAATGAAACCTCCATACTAGCGACACTGTTAATTAAACCTTGTCTCATTAACTCCCGATTCTTAGAGAGCTCTCGCTGTTTCAAAGAGTGGCCCTCAGGCCAACAGCATCAGCTTAACTTGGGAACATGTTAAAAATGCAAATCCGTCTATGGCCATGCCACCCTGAACGCGCCGGATCCCATCTCATCTCGGAAGCTAAGCAAGGTCGGGCCTGGTTAGTACTTGGATGGGAGACCACCTAGGAAGACCAGGTGCCGTAGGCGCAAAAAATAAAAAATAAGGGATTGTAAGCTGACCAGGTCCTTGCAACCTGTGAGGTCAACCAAGGGTTGCCTCACCTAAAAAATTTTAAAAAAGAAAATAAAATAAAAAGGCAAATCTTCAGACTCCTTCCTAAACCTACTGGGTCAGAACCTCTGGGAAGGGGGTCTAGAAATCTGTGTTTTAACAAACCCCACCAGGTGATTCCATGCACACTGAAGCGTGAGAGCTTCCGCTCTAGGGTTTAATGTAAAAAACAAAAACAAAAACAAACAAAACCCCAAACCAGGCCATCCAGGTTCCAACAACGGGCGTTACCTGCATAGAGCACGGGAGAAGTCTCCACGTCCGAGCCGAGACTGTTGGCTACCGAGCATCCATACAGGCCCTGCTCCTTCTTTGTGGGGTTCCGTATCTGAATCTTCCCCATTCCAGACCAAATTATTCTGCAGAACAGAGAGAAAGGGGATGCCGTCACGTGAAACATTTGACTGCTCTAGGACCACAGCAGGTCTCGGAAAAAGGAGACTAAAAGATTTGACTCTGGGCTGGCAGAGGTCCCAAAATACGACCTTGCCAAGTGTCCCGCTGACAGGCAGAAAGACACGTAGAGCAGAGGCTGAAACGCCTTGCCTCTGGGCGGAAACTCACAGAAATGGTAGACAGAGCTGGCCAGCGCACAGACATCCAGTCTCTTTTTCTCACTTTGCACGAGAACAGACGTTTCTGGGTGGACGTCAAGCTTCGTCTACCACACTTTTCAAAAGACGCATTTGCCACCCTTGGTCTGCTGGGTGTCGACCCCTCATTTTCTGCCTAAACCCTTCCTGACGAACTGCGGGCGAGGGTTTTTCCCACTGGGCAAGCTGGCGGGCTTCCTGCGAGGTTGGCCTGGCGATGGTCGCTGTATGGATGCTAACGATGTGCGGGTAACGATGCTAAGGTTACACGAGACTGGGTCTCGACTGGGCTGTTCAGAACCAGGGCCGACTACAGGAGTTCCCCATGGTCCCTAAGTTATTGATATTCATGAATACGTAACTACCAGCTTCAGAACGCGAGTCGGTCTGGGACACTCGAACAGACCAGGTAGTCACTCACGGAATGGGGGAAGGGCAGGGGAGCCTGTTCTGCTGTTATTGTAATTCTTTCTCTAGACCTTCTGGGCCAGGTACTACTTCCTCCCCTGCCCCATAACGCTTTACGGGGACTGTTCTGATGGCTCAATGCTGTATGTTTCTTCACAAACTCGGCTGGGCCACGTCTTCATTTCCTGTCACTTCACGCTGCCTACTCTATGCTCCAGCCAGAATGAACTTCTAACAGTTTCCAGAACGTTCCACGATCTTTCATCACCCCGAGCGTTTGCATATGTTGTTCACTTCATCTGGAACGTCCTTCCCCGTCTCTGGCAAAGCGCAGCCTACCCACTGAGTCCTGGATCACATGCTAATTTCCCCTGCAAAGCTTTCCTCAATCCTCCTAGAGTTATCTTCTGCTCCCTCTGGGCTCTTTCTGCTCTGGTTCATATATTTAGTTGATGAAATTTCTCTTTCTTCCCACTAGATTGTGATCTTTTCAAGAGCAGAGACCAAATCGTATTCACAGCTGTGCATTCTCCGTGCTTAGCGCAGTGACTTTATACAGCAAGTTCTCACAAACCTTGGATGACTAAATGCATGAATAATCAGAATAGAACAGAATAATGACACAGAATCAATGTGCTGGGAGGAGTCAAAGCCCCTGCAACACACATAGGAAATACATAAAAGTGTCTGGAAATCAAAGCAGCTGAACTGCCCAGCACAAAAGTGGGAGTGTGGCTGAACTCCATTTCCATTTTCAAGCCCCGAGTAAGAGACGGTTCATTAAGAACAAAAACAGAACTGATAACTGAACTTGACAAATAAACGCATCACGAAGTTGTAAGTTATTTCGTGTATATGTTTGCGTGATTTAGCACGTCTCAAACCCTCTCTTCGGTGAGCAGGTCTCAATTTAGCAGCACAAGGAGACGTCACTGACAGAGAAACGGATGAGCACACGTGAGCCTGCGCTGCCAGGTGGAGCCGCCCACGCATCTGGCCTCGATCAGCCCCTGGGCTGGACAACCGGCAGGTAGAGTTCCTCCGGGGGTCTCGGCTTGGGCTCTGCTCCATGACCTCGCTCCCAACAGAGCCGATCTTTCCGCAGGCACCATGCCCCTGAACCCGCCCACAGCCTTCCCTCTCTGGCTCGCATCCCGACTCAGTGGGCTCTGCGATGCGACTCCGGGCCCACGTGACTTCCTCCACCGCATGGCAGCATCATTCTCAGAAACACGATTCCACTCCTGAGTTACTCGGATTAAAAAGATTTGTGAGATTCTGAAAAGATACGAAAGATGCTGCACGACGACTCTGCATAGCAAGTTCTCAAAAACCAGAGGCGAGAAACCTTCGTCGGGTAAAGAAAATTAGACATAAGTTGAACAAATTGATGAGGTACGTTTTTGTTTTTTGGTTTTTTTTTTAAATGGAAATAAAAATAAATCTGACTCTTTCAAGAGCAAGCTATAATTTGCCATTTTCACCGTGTCAGTGTTTGCGCCGAGAGCAGACGCCGTGGTGGGTAAAACTGCTGGCCCCTGAGCGGGAACCAAAGCTGTGACACCACCGTGTAGCAGTCGTCACCGTATTCCTGACTACCAGCAACCTGCCATGAAAACAAAACACCAGTGTCCCTCACAGACGTCTCTAATGAAGTGGGGAAACTTATTCATTTTACGATGCTTGAGCACACTCATTTTTAATATTCTGTTTCTGCATGCTGAAGCGCAGCGTCCCTCACAGACGTCTCTAATGAAGTGGGGAAACGTATTCATTTTACGATGCTTGAGCACACACATTTTTAATATTCCGTTTCTGCATGCTGAAGCGCAGCGGGGTGTGAGTGTGTGTGTGTGTGTGTGTGCGCGTGCGTGTGTGCGTGTGTGTGTGTGTGTGAACGCTGGCTGAACTAGCTGCGCTCGTCACGGATACCACTTTTCTTGAGAGAATGACGGACGGGCAGACCATGATGATTCTTCCTTGGGTATCTGGCAGATAGGCTTTTTAAATGAATCAGGTGCCTGATTCAAGGAAAATGACAGGACGGTGTTTGTTGCCGATGATAAAAATCGAACTTTCAAGTGAAAATCAGAATTTCGGAAAACTAGTCTTCTCCCTTGTGACAGCTTCCCAAAGCTCAAAGACTTTCCTGATGACATCGATGGGAGGTGACGTTAAAGAATGAGTATTTTTAAAAATATTTTTAGTGAAACGTGTCAACATGTGGGAGATCTATATGAAGCAGTGAGCCAATTTTTCCCAAATGACCAATGTGTGATATTATGAAATCTTGTGTTGGTAATAGATCCACTCCAAGTACAAGATCAGTCAAAAGGTTTCCTCATGAGTGAGTACCAAAATTCCATTAATACGGTTTTAGATTCCACCTTTAACTAACCTTTAAGAAACTACCACCTGTCCAGTTTAAGTGTAACATCCAAGAATAGACACAATCATCTAAAAGGAGTAGAAAACTATTCCTTCTTTTTCCCACTGACTTATCTGTAAGAAGCCAAATTTCCTCTAGAAGCTTCGATTCAAACAACGTATCCCCGCAGATGGAATGCAGACACATGTGTGAAAGTCCATGAGAATTTTCCTCAGACAGAAGAGAGATTTGCAAAGACGTAAAACAATGCCCCTGTTATCAGTAATTTTTTTAAATATCACTTTAAAAAATTATGTTATTTATGTGAAAATGTGAAGGATTTAGTGTTATTTCTAAATGGATAAATAAACAGATATTTTAAATGTTTCTTGGTTTTACTTTCTAATATGGCAAACATCAATAGATACAACCCACATTAACCAAAGCTCTTGGGGATCCTCAACCATTTAAAGGGGTCCTAAGACCAAAAGATTTCAAACTCCTAAGCTAGTGGATCTGAGAGGTTTATCCCACTTCTAAAATTTCATCATATGCCTTGTGTTCAGAGCTCCGGAGCGAAAAATTAAAAATAAATAAATTTGTTCTACCTTTTCACTCTAAGACAGCCTAATGATGCATTATCAAAAAAAACTGAATTTTACCTCGATTTCTTCTGACCTTTCAAGTATTAGGCTCAATGCACAAAAGACGCGATAAAAATAAAACTTGCATTTTTAAAGTACCTCATCATCTGCAAAACAGCTTAACATCTGCCGCTTTGTTTGCTGCATAATAATCCCTAGAGGCAGATAAGATGCAGCCTGAGCTCTTAAATGCAAATTTTAGAAAAGCAAATGGTCTATAATCGTACATGTACAAACAGCAAAATCTGGAGACAGTAAAAGATGCGAAAGTGAATTAGTAGTTCTGTTAGTCTCTGTTATTTTATGTAAACCGAGTGAAATGTGATATCTTTGTATAGACAGATCACAATAAAATATGACTTCAGATTTTGTTTTGAAGATCTCCAAAAAATTTGATCCGTATCAGCTTATCCTTTTGAGTAAGATGCCCTCCCTGCCAGACTCATGAGACTGATGATGTGAGCTCAAATGAGATTCCACGTGTCCTAGATACGGAGGGGCACTGTGAATTCTGAGTTGCAGCTCCTACACACAACAAGATAACTGCACATTTCCTTACTTGTCTGATAGCCTTTTATCGACTCTTTTTAACTGTTAAGCGCTCTGCGGAGAACACATACATGTTAAACTCAGTCTAACCGTATCCAGTCTCATTATTATGCCTATTGCACTTGAGATAACACGGTTTAATTTAAAAAAAAAATCCAGTGCCTACGTGAAAAACACGTCCTCACATTTTTGAGTTTTTTTTCCTAAAGCATCCTGCCGGAAACACATCTCTAGGAGAGAAAATTTGAAATGTCCTCCAGAAAACTGGAATGACCATTAAGAAGATATTGCGAACGCTGAATTCCCACTCCACTTACTTGTCGGAGCCCTGTAACAACACTCCGTCCTTGGTCCACGTGTATGCGGCCTCACCGGGGGTAACGAGCTCGCACAGTATATTGATGACTGCTGTCCTTTTCGTAATGTACACTGTATTGCCGATCCTCGAATTGACCGTTTTATTAAATGAGATCGCGGGGGGCTGGCTTTGCCTCACGAGAACTGGTCCCTTTGGCTTGAAGGTCAGCTTGCCTGAGGTTTTCGCACTGGCACGTTGGGGGGCACTTCCTGTTTCCCCTCTCAGCTGAGCTGTAGGAGGCGTCTCTTCCCGGATGCCCCCCCATGGCATGCGTGCCGGCTGTGCCTTCGCTAACTCTGCCACCAGCTGATATATCACCTGGGACGCAAGGTCATCGCTGACCTCCCCAGTCTCCATGAGCTGACTCATGTTTCTTATCAGTTCGTCGAACTGGGCCGTGTCCATGCTGTAGGCTCCCTGCTGAAGCGCTGCTTCGAACTGCTCATGCTTCACGTCCCAGGAGTTGGGGTTTCCTGGAGAATTTCGGCAGGGACCCAACAGCGCTCTCAGGAAAGGCTGGTTATGAACGTGGCCGTCATCCGGGTAGAGCTCATTTTTATCAGTCCACATCTGTCTCATTTTGTGCCACGTGGTCCCCAAACGGTCCATCTCAGGGTGCTCCCTCGAGTGGTCCCTCAGGGCCGGGGGCGCGATGAGCCGGTTGTCGGTTCCGATGAGCTTAAGGACGAGGGTGTCCTGGGCGGAGCCTGCGACGCACCGGTACACGCCGCTGTCGGCCGCTGCCAGGCTGTGGATTTTCAGCGAGCCTGACCTGGTGATGCCCAGTCGTCGGGAGTTCTGCAGACAATGGCCATCTTTCTCCCACTGGATCAGGGACTTCTGGAACCGCCGTACGGGGCATTTCATAATCACGGACGTGTTGGGCAGCAGGTAGGCCCTGCTGCCGACGGTCAGCTGAATACGCTTCTCTTCCCTTGTCTGAATATAGACTCGCTGGACACCCAGGATCAGAGGGCCCTGCTCTCCAGCTTCCGCCTTCACCTCTGGCTTGATTTCTGCCCCAAAAAAAAAAAAAAAAAGACAGAGAGAGAGAGGGAGAGGGAGGGAGGGAGAGAGAAACACAAAGAAATATCTCAATGATAAAAGCTTTTTGACGGTAATCTTTCAAGGCTGACGTGAGCCAACAAATATATCTTTTTTCCTCTTTAAAAACATTTGAGAATTAAAATGTGAATGACGGTCTCCAACGTAGACGGCCACGGCTCTCTAGGACTTTAGCGGCAAAGCATGCAAGTTTGAATGAACTGCGTGGAAACATGCAAGTTATTTTACAAAGAAAGCCCCGGTTTGGGGAGGCAGGAGGTTCGATGGTGACATATTTCCCTTGATAAGGGGATGCTTGATATGCTGGGCCTCCACCACCCGCAGCGCTCGTGCCCTGGGGAGCTGTCCCCCTGACGAGGGGCACCCCTCTGCTCATCTGCAGGAAGGCTTAGATGTGTTCAGGGTTGATTTTGCAGTGGGGGGATGAGGTGGCAGGCGGGGTTCTGCCTTAGTGGAGAACCAGCCTAAGTGGCCAGGTGAGCCACAGAGAAGCCAGGCTGCCCCTCCGGTTGTGTGTCTATTTGCTAGATGGTTGGCCCCGTGGTCTCAAATGTTTCCATGGCCTACTCTGTCGTAGCAATTGCTCATACGGGGTGCAAAGCAGTTAGTTAGTGGGCATGCCTAGGGGTGATCTGGGGTTCGGGCCCTGCCGGGCTGCCAGGCTCCACCGCTTGGGCCAATTCCTTTCTTTGGAGCTTCTGTGAACTTCTTCAGAGCAATGCCTGAGTGTGGTGTCGTTTTCTGCTTTGGGGCGGCTGCCTCCCTCTGCACCTGGGTGCACCCCTAAATGCAACACTGGCCAAGCCTGATTAAGCAGGGGCACCATCCACCCTGCATCGTCCCGGAGGGGCTGCAGGCCATGCAGCGGTACCGACCCATCATCCCTCCGGCTCTCCCGCCGTGCTGGACGTGAGAAACACCGCATCTCTTGGCTTGTCTAGAAAATAAAAAGGTCTTTCTTCTGGATGTCCTCCTTTGGTGCCAGCCTGCCACCTCCAACAAAGGCCAGCTCTAGGTGTCCGAGGCCGTTTATGGCAGCTGCCTCTGCCCCTTGCTTGTACCTGCCCTGCTGTAACTCCTGCTGTCACTCCAGTCCCATCCGTGCCATGACGGGGAGTCTGGGTGCCATTCCGGGCTGCTGCCCCAGCCGTTGGGGCTGGATGCTTCCACGTGGTCTCACCAACATTCGCCTCCTGCCACTCCCAAGCAGGCTCTGGCTTCAATGCAGCCTTCAGCCTTCCCCTTCCCCTGCTGGAACCCTGGCCCTCAGCACCCAGCCCTGCGTGTGGCCACTTGGCTGGACCTGCTTCCCGCTCCTTCCACTAGCACCGAAGCCACGACAAGCTCGGGTGGGGCTCTGGCAAGAACCTGGGCAGCTTTTCGGGTTCTGTTCAGACGTCCCAAGGGTAGGAACACAGGTCACCGAGAGGAGGCTGCGAGGGATGCTGTGGGCGTGTGAAGGCCCCTGAGGCCCCACGGAAGACTGTGGACAGCGAGCGTCAGGCCGAGCTGAAGGAATGGCTCCCACCTACTGGCTTCTCACTCACTTCTCGAGCAGATGCTATCTGGCTTCCACCCCACAGACGCTCCCTGGGGAAGGCCAGCGACGGTCCCCTCGTGACAAGTAGGATACCTCCCTTCAGTATTCTCGCTTGACCATTCCTGGACACAAGGCACTCTTAACCGCTCACTGCATGAGGGAGCCCTTGTTCTGACCGTCTCTGACCACTGTTCACAGCCAGTACCCCGCTGGGTGTTGCTTGTCCTCAGGTGTCAATGCTCGGCCATTTTCTCTCTTTACCTTTTGCCCTAAACTTGTCATTGGATGACCTTGTAATTTTAACTCACAACTCCAGGTTGATGCCTCCCAAGGTTACCTAGCCGAGACCTCTCCCCGGAACCGCAGACCTAACTGTCCACCGCTCACTAGAAATCTCTTCCTGGTACCTCAAGTTCGAAAATATTAAATTCTAAACACATTATCTCTGTCCCCTCCATCCCATCTCAAAGAGCCCCCTTTTCCTATGTTCCTAAGTTCACGGCATCACCTTCCGTGAACCTCCTCAAGCCGGAAAACAGGGAGTCATCCTGATTCCTTGACGTCCAGTGGGAACCTGGCCCTACCTATCACTGACTCTCAGGGCAGTGAGGCTATTCGCATCTATCACCAACTCCACATTCAAAGAGGTCACACTGGGAGCTGGACATCAGCCACACGGGGAGTATTTACGCCACGGCAATGAGCAAAGACAACGAATGAGAGCTACCTCTCCCCGCCCACTCCCCACACCCACCCCGGCCCCGGGCTGGTCGGTGAACTTTCCCAAGGACACCACTCTAGTTGGGAATTAGGCACTTAGATTGACACCTGAAACAGGCAGAATTCATCCCCCTGCTCTCTCACGAGGACACCACCTTAACTCAACTCCCTGCCTGCTGTCGGAGTAAACAGACCCGAAGAAAATCGGACCTTGTCATCTCCTTCCCAGGTGAAACCTAAACCCTGCGGCACGGAGTTCAAGACCCTCTACCGCCGACCGCGCCAGCTGTCCCTTCGGTACCACGCATCCAGAACCTGTGTTCTAATCCCACGGAGCTGCCCACAGCTCCCCTAAACATACCTGTCCATTTGACATCCCTACCTTTGCCACCTGATGATGTCTGACGAGAACTGGGATTTGAACTCGAGCGAGTGACATCTGACCTACGGTGTCATGCTACCTTTCAGGGATTAAGTGCAACCGAGAAAGAGGATGGCAGAGTCTAGGGCTGTGCTGGTCCTTCAAAAATGGGAAGAACGTCAGTTACCAGATACGAGGGAGGAAAGGATGTGAGCGAGGGATGAACTCCTAAGGTTCGGGGAGAAGCAGGCAGAGGCCATCATTGGACCGTATGGTGCACCACCGGCCCCTAGGGGGAGCTCAAGACATGGGTCCCACCTGCCCGCCACCCAGCTGTACCTAACGGTCAAGACGAAGAGCAAGAAAATTCACTCCTCTAGAGACGCCGGGTTTTACTTCAACTCAAGACACTAATCAGGACACATTTCTACAAGTGAAAAAACAATCACAGTTGGATTTGGCTTTTCCTGACTTTGGGGGGCGGGGTAGGCCTATAAAAAGACCATGCGTTTCCAGTCCGGAGAACAGACTGGGTAGATTTGAGGTGAAGCAGAGCGGAAGGTCAGAAGGACATTATATCATGCGGCCTTGATATTCCTAGTGAAATCAAAGACACGTTTGTCCACAGAGAAATGGGGCCAGCACGGTAGTCAGGAAATAGCTGCTACGGTGAAACTTCTAGGGGATTCTTAGGAAATAGGAAAAAACCACATTATTACCCAGCTAGATTCAGGTAGCACAAAGATGAAGTATGTCTAACCTGCATGGTGATGCCATTTCCTCTAGCAAATCCCAGTAGCTCAGGCCAGGGAACCAAACAACAAACGAAAACCACCTGAAAGATACCAGGGCCAGCGACGGGCAAGGCCATCGAGGCAGGGGGTTGAGGAGGAGGGTGAAGACCCGCCTGTAGAATTGGTTAAGTGAGTGGCGCGGGAATGCCGGCTAAGAGGGTCGTTTCCAGTGCAAGAGAGGGAGGTCGGGGACAGGAGGGAGGGATGGAGGACCCAGTGGCCACAGGGAGGCATTAACTAAGCAAGCAGGAGTGAGGCGGCGTGGGGGGACGGGCAGGGAGCTATTCCCAGCGTCAAGAAGTGAGGAAGTCAAGGGGACAGGGGTCAGCGGAACTGATGACGCTGGCAGGGCGGGATATGAGCGTGCTGCCAGGCTCGTCGGCACGGACGTCGGGTGTGGATGTGGGCAAAGGCTGGGGAAGAAGAATGGACCCGGCGGCGAGGCGTCCCGCGGAAGGCGCAGAGTGGCATTCGCAGGCGTGATGAGAGCCGTATCGGGACGTCGGGTGTGGATGTGGGCAAAGGCTGGGGAACAAGAATGGACCCGGCGGCGATGCGTCCCGCGGAAGGCACAGAGTGGCATTTGTGACGAGAGCTGTATCAGTGCTCGGCAGGCGATGTCAGTGGGAAAAAGGTGCATTGACAGAGGGGGAAGAGGGGACGGTGGGAACGGGAGCTCGGCCCCCCTTGGCCCTGGGATAGGGTGGTGGGGAGAAGGGAGGCCATACCACGGGGCAGGGAGAAGCCACGTTTCCGCAAGCGAGGCCCACGGAGCAAAGGTGATAGAGCGAGGCCCGGCGGGGAGCCTGCCTTCCTGTCTCCCGGCTGCTCCCATGACCTACACGTTTGGCACGCTAGAACATGTGGTGGGGCAAAGGAGAAATATTACTGTCTTTTTTCTTGTTTTGTTTTTTTCTCTCCTTAAAACTCATCGTTTTCCTCTGCTCTCTGCTGCACGCCATCATAATTTATAATTTCATCTCGTACCGCACGGCATGCCCTAATAACCACGATGGATTCCCACATGTTATTCTGTTATTATTTTAGAGGAAGCTGCCAATATTGCTTTAATTTCCCTCTCCTCTAAGGCAGTTTATGGTCTAGCCACACTGCCATAAAACCATCCACAATTAATAAAAATTAGACCGATAAGCGGCTCAAAGCATGACCCCGCCCCCTATGCCACAGACATTCCTGCATTCCGGGACACTGTAAAACTTGGAATCTCAGTTTTTTTGGAATCTCAAGATTTTGAAAATTTGTTCTCATTGTCCATGAATCAGCACAGAGAGGTGGCTAAGACTGTGGGCTCAGGAGTCAGACAGACTTGTGGTCAACAGGGCCAGGGGGCCAATTGGCAGCTAAGATCCTGGTTCTCATACCTTCTCTAACTCTTGAATTCCTCGTCTCTAAAACGGAGACTGTCGCTTTCTCGCCATGTTGTGGGAACTAAATGAGTTAATGCATGAGACAAACTACACAGTAAGTGCTCAATAGATGCTATTTTTTTCCAAAGGTGATTATTGTTTTTCTTTGTTTCTATGCGTTTTTCCAAGAAAATTGTTGGTAAACTTAGGAGATATTTATATATAAATCATTGTTTTTTGCTTAAGTGACATTAAAATAATAATTTCTGACTTTTTTCTTACCATAAGCTCAGGAGGGTGCCCAGGTAATTAATATTTTATAGGCGAATAATTAAAGGTGGTGGAAAACAAAGCAGGAAACGGGCCCTGAAGCTGCATGTTCCCAGGATGCCTGGTCCCCACCTCCCTGCACCACCTCCCACCACCACTCTGCAGCCTCGTTTTCAACTGCTGTAGAGATACCGCCCTCAACTCCTTTGTCACCCTCCTGCATGACACATCTGCCTGCACATGCGAAGACATATTCTCTCCTGCACACCTAAAATACAAATGCTACATACGTATCACAATACGAACCCCTTACCCTAAGCTTATATAAGTTATAGCTTACTAATTATAACTGCTTATAATTTAATTATTTAAAAATTATACTCAAACTGACATTTTCAAAAACCAAAGTTATTTCATGTTCTCTCCCTTGCTGGCCTTAGATCGTACACAAGAAGAAACTTGTCATGGTCAAGTGGGGGGGGGTTCGAGAAAGTAGAATTCCAGACGCATTCGCTCCGCGTGCGGACAGTCCCTAAAACTGACTTTCCTCAACACTGTACCGCTTGCTGCTTAGAAGAATTCTGACTTCTGCTTGGTTTGCTCGACCCACAGCTCAGAAACGTGGAGATATCTGGAAAACGAGGCCATCGAGACACGACGACCAGAGACAGCACACCGCGAAGCGGTGACCGCACGTACTTACTGCTGCACACGGGCATGTGGCACGGTCTTACGAGGGGGGGGCCGGGAAGACCCCTGCACGAGGCCTCGCCGAGGGGGACGCGCTGGCCTTTGGCCGTCAGCCTCTGACACACCTGTGTTCTTCGCTGGGTTCCAACACCGCAACTGACGGAGCACTGCAGGGGGAAACGTGCGAGAGGGTCAGACGGGGCGGGGCGTGTGTGGACAGAGCATCCAGCAAGGGGGAGCCTCACGCACGGCTGCGCCAGTGAGCAGCCACTTCCTGGGCGCCCACGTCTTTCCAGATTTGGAGTTTCCCGCTCTTTTTCCCTTCCCTTCTCTCTGAGATAGTAATTCATTTCTGCTCATTTATTGTCATGGGTTTTTTTTTTTTTTTTTGGCATTGTAATTGATGTCTAATTTATTTTTCAGCTATTTATTTACATAGTACGATGACTTTGATTGTTTTTTTTTAAATGATACAGACCTATGACCAAGAATTCGAAAACTAGAAAGGCATAAAAAGGAAAGTTTTTAAAAAATCACCCCAAACTGCTGTACGTAAAATAACATTACTATTTGATGCGTATGTGCGTAACATCGAAATGTGATCATCACTGTGTGTACGTGCCATTTGAAATTTTAATTAGGCGTATTAGAAATTTTATATCTGGTATGTTAGCCATTTTATTAAGGACATTAGGGAAAAAAACTAAAGTAAAATTTAAAAAGTTGCTGAATGTGTGATCTTTTTTTCACCGTAATGGATCGATTCCCAAAGAACCTTCTAGAGTTAAGAAACAAGACGAAAGAAACCAACAAGAGATCCAAGTAGTTCATTTTAACGACATCTTTTGACTTTTAAGAAGGTCAAGCTGCTGCTAAGAAGGAAAAAGAAACAAGCCCATTTCCATTTCCTCCTACCACTCCTCCTAACTCGCCTCAGTTCCGCTAAACTATTTAGGTGTCAAGATTACTGATGTTTACAGTCTGTTCGGAAATGCAATTGCCGGCTGATTGAATTCTGTACTTAAATGAATTATCCACCCTCCCTCGTTGTGATCTGGGCCTGCACATTCCGGATTCTTCCCTTCGAGTCATCCTGGCCCTGTAGGTTTTTCCAGAGCTTGTTAGAATAGCCTTCCCTTCTGCCTCTGCTGCCTTTCTCCATGAACGGCTAGGACGAAAAGAAAATAGTTGGAAACTGTTCTCGTCTTCTTGTGCTGAATGCTGCTGTGAAGACATGTGAGGCCAGACGGGGAATTTCTATTAGCTGTTGGCCTCTTTTCTGCTCAGAGGCCCGTGGGCTCTTCATCCACAAAGTCTAGCACCGTAAGAAAGCTACGTCTCCGTGGGTCGTATGTTCTCGGCGCGTGGTATACCATCGCAGGTAGGTTAAAGCTCCTGTTAAAGGAAGTGAATTTCTCTTCATCGTCTCTGCGTATGTTTCTGTTCCCTTTGTTTTGTCCTTATAAACACCAATGACGCTCGTGTTCGAACGCCTCCGTCAGCCTTCCCCATCCCTCACTGCCTCTAAAATCCGACTGTACATCTTAACTCCCTTTCGTATCATTTTACGAGTTACTCCAGCTTGAGCACCATCTCTCTGTTTTCCATCATTTTAATTTTTTTGTTGTTGCATATAATGTAACTTTTATATGTTATTTTTAATTTTTCTTTGCCGGTTTTCCCCCGATGGTTCCAGTTGTCTCTTTATCTCCTGCTATTGACTGATAATCAACTTTTGAACTCAAATCTCATTTTTAAGCCACCTTCCTCCTCAGGCGCTATGATTGTCACTTCCTCGGGAATACAGAGCCTATCTGCTGGAACTTTGCTCTGGGTGATAGCTTGGCGATGTCATGTTATTGCTGTGACTTGTCCTTTCTATTCCTCTCCTCCTTCCCCTTCAATTCTGTCCCCAACCCCGTTTCGATGCAAAGATTTTGTCCTGAAGCTTTGAATGGGGCTGGTTGTTCGTGACCACCACAGGCGGGGGATAAGCTTGGGCAGTCTATGTGTTTGCCATTCTCAACGCTGGGTCACCAAATTTCCCATTTCCTTTGCCCACGTCTCTCATCAGGTTTTGGGGCTCCAATGGTCGGCGTGATTCAGAGGAGAGGCTCTGGGGCCACTGGCTTGCCGAGTCACGATGCAGCAATGGCTGCCCCTTCCCTCACGCCACGTCGTCCCTGGCTGCCTTTCCTGGCGGGCAGGCCCCCTGCGTGTTTCTCCCTTGGCTCTCCCTCCCCGGTTCTGTGGGGACATTCTCAGAGTTTTCGGGGGGAAGCTCACAGTCCTCCACCTAGTCTCTGCAGTCAAAGAACTGTCGACCAGGCCTTTCTGGACTGTCCCACACACCGCCAGGGAAGTGTGTACCCTGCTTGCGCCTGAGGAAATGCCTGTCAGCTCTCAGCCTTCCCTCCGTTTGGTCCAGAGCTCATGGTCTTTGGCAGGTGTGTTTCATGATTTACAGCTGGGGACTGTGGCCACTTCATTGTTCACTAAAGACAGAGTGTTCTCTCTTTTTCATTCTCTTGTGGGTTTTTTGTTGGGTTTCGAAGGAAGGAAATGGAATTTTTTTTTAAAAGCCTTTATCGTCATCTTTAATGGAAAGCCATAATTATTAATGTTTTTCAGTACAGTGAAAAGCCTTTTGGGAGCGTTAGAACAAATAATTTAAAATTATCGTTTGTCGAATGACGAATTTCTTCACAAGTCAAATCATCCTCTCGGAGTTTCCCATGTAATAAAAATTAGTGTTAACCTTTCATTAGACTACGATCGTTTGTCCTTTGTGTTCACATAACACATAAAAATCGCCCATCATCACTCATAAGCCATTTCTAACGACACACGTTTGACTTTTTCTGCCCACTTTGAATGGAAGGATCATTTGTAAAAAATTGTGTTTTATGAATAGAGGTCTTATGCGACTTCGTGTCTGCTACGTTCAAAGGAAGACAGCCATTAGAGAACATTCGACTCACACAGAGATGACAGACTCGGCGCCATTAACAGCAGTTCACAAAGCAGCCACCCTCTGCCAAAGACCCTGTGGTTTGCTCCATAGGAATCTGGGCCATTTCCCAGGCGGTGCTCGTGGGAACAGTGCATCCCGAGTTCCTGCATGTTCCTAAGTACGTGTCTGTGGCCTTCCAACCTGAGGGTCAGGGTGACAGGGTACGCAATCCTGGCTCGCATTTCCTGTCTCTGAGTACATTCGAGACGTCGCTCTACTGTTCTGCAGCGTGAAGCGGTATTGTTGAGTCTGATGCTAATCTGATTTCCTTTCCCTAGTACAGGACTTGGTGCTTCTGTCTGGATGCACCAACCCGTTTTTCTTTACCTTTAAAATCCGGTCATTTTAATAGACTAACTCTTAATATGGAGCATTCTGGGTCCATTTTCCCAGGGCTGAGGCGCGTACTTTCCGGGTGGCGATTCGAGTCTTTTGTGTATACTTCTGTCGTTTTGGTTTTCTCTTCCTGATACGCTCATTATATCCATATTTGTTGCGTTTTCTTTCCCTGTCTTTTACATCTGTGGTTTTTTGCACGAATCCTTTTCATTTCTCCTTGACTCTTTTCTTTCTCCTCCTTTATTTCCCTTATTTACTCACCATGTCCCGTCATTCCTGTGTTCCTTCTGAATTCGTCTACCTTTCTGAAAATGTTCCCCTCACTTTCCTGATTCTTTCCTGAACGCTGTCAGCTCTCTTGTCACATTTCTGGCCATTTCTATTTCTATGATAGGTTTCCTGAGTTTTTCCTCACTTATTTTAGCTCGTTTCGTAACGGTACGTTACATCTTCATCTGCCTCAAGGCCAGCGTTTCATTGCGTTGGCATGTCACGGATGCTTTTATCTCAGAGTGTCTTCGTGTGGGGTTTGCCGATGCTCCTCCTAAAATTAAACAGATTTTTTTCCCTGTACTTTTCAAAGCGTACGAGTGGGTTTTTGAAAGCGTTTCGGGGTAGTTCCCCTCCTGTCAAGGGCATCCTCTGGTGTCAAAAAGAGGTGCCTTCCGGAATCTTCCATGCGCAAGGCTCTCTGAACATTCTCCTCCTTCACCCCTGGCGTTCTTTCTCAGGGTATTTCTGAAGTCTTTAAGACGTGGGTTTCTCTGATGCTCTCTTGACTTCTCGAGGCCCCTGAGCGAGGCTGCATGCCCTTCCTCACACTTGGCCACACGCTGGGGCCTGCAGTCTTCTGCCTCAGTGTCACTGGGTGGTCTCAGACCTGCCTGCGGAGGGTCCCATTCAGAGCAGGACTATTTCCCGGTGGTAGTATTTACTGTGGCTGTCGGCCCTGTCTGTCCTCCACCCCCTTTTTTTTTTTCTTATCTCTAGCCGCTAAACTTGAAGTTTCTACACAATTTCTGCCACTGGATATGGTTCGGCCTCACCCATGTTTACCACTTTTGTTCGAGTTGTCATCTGGGTTCTTTCCTTTCCTGTGGCAATCCTAATTGCTCTATTTGTTTTTTAAAGAGAGGTTTGGGACGCTAAACCGCTGTGCTGCCAGCATGATCTTGCTTCACTGGAAGACTTCTAACTATTCATAAGGGAACTACTGTTCTTAATATACCTTTTAATTCGTGGCATTCATTTTCCGTGGCTTCAACTACCATCTAAATGTGGATAATTCCCAAAATTAGAACCTCAGTGCAGATCTCTCCAGAGCTACAATTCACTACTGATCCCTTTACAGACCCTCAGACTACATGGACTTCAAAAGTAAATTCATTTTCTCTCCCTTTCGAGTCACCTTTCAAACACGTTCTTTCTCTACTTTTAAAATTAATGTCATCTATATCCATTAACTACCCAAGACAGAAATCTGGGGTGTCCCTCTTTTTCACTCATTTCTTATCAATTCAATTACCGAATCTGCCAGTTACATTTCCTAAATATCCTTCAAAACTACTTATTATTCTGTCCCAACTGTTTCGATATCTCGTTGCTATCGATGCCATTTCCTTCTAACGAGGTCCCTCAAGCTCCAGTCCGTCCCTTCCTCCTCTAATATACTGTCCACATTGTGGCCAGAATTACATGTCTAAAAGCCTGCATTTTACCTCCCTGTTCAAACACCCTCCACCATCCCTCCGTGACCACAGGGATAAACCTAACCTCTCCTTTCTACCTCATCTTCTGCTACTTCTTCAGTGCATCCTATCCCCAAGCCACATGAGACTGAGCAACTCACAAGCTGTGCCTCTGCGTACAGTCAGTCCTGTCCCTGACTCCAACACCTCGTTTGCACTGTCCTCACTCTCCTTTGAGACCCAGCTCGAGGGCTGCATCTTCTATAACGCTTTCTGGGACCCAGGCTGACTTAGATGTTTTCCCTCAATTTTCATCGAGTTCTGTAGATGGGACATCTTTGTGGGACTTTTTACACGAGCGTAAACATTATTTCACCTATCTGTCTCATTTCGTATTCAGGTGTGCGTGCGTGTGTGTGTGTGTGTGTGTGTGTGTGTGTGTGTGAAAGCGTATGGACTTGAATGCACTGGGTACATATTGAATGGGTCAAAATATAAGCGTTAATTGTCAAATTGAGCCTACAAAGAGATTATTCAAGTACAAAAGTGGTGACCTACAGAGTAATTAGTAATAAGAAATGCATAATTAATACTACGTAATAAGAGAAGGGTTAAAGAAAGGTTTGAGAATAAACCTTGAAAGCTGAGTGTTCTTGCATTCATGGAAGGAACCCCTGAACAGAGAGAGCTACTGCCTGTGGATTGAAGACCTTGACCAGCCCACACTAACGCTACAGGACAATGACTGACAGACTGGACCTTCACCCAGAGCTCGGGTTATTTCCTACCCCCAGCAATGCCAAGATAAAGGTGACAAAATGTCCCAAACGAGGTTCCGGATTTTGTAAAACAGAGTCACAGATTGGAATTTCTTGAAGGTATTTCTATTCTCAGCACCATTGATAAGTTGAAACTCTCTTATCACTAATTGTGTGTGTGTGTGTGTGTGTGTGTGTGTGTGTGTGTGTGTGTGAGAGAATAACCCTTTCGTGAAGGTCTGTGCTGGCTAACGTTTTGCAACAGATGCTCGGGGCAGAGAGCCCTGACTGTAACATTTGCCAATTCCTGGGGTGTAATTACCACCGCTGTGGCTGGTTTCAAGCTGTCGACCTGGTGTCATGGAGCACAAGGTGGGGAGAGTCACAGCTGGTTCTCCCAAGTGGCCGTGCACTGGCTCCAACACGCCACTGCCTTCGTGAGTCACCGGAATGCCACACTTGGAAACCCAGATGTCCTAGACTTGCCTACAGCTGTGCTTTGTAAACGTTCTCATCGATAAAGACCTTTTCCTTTCTCCTTGGCATGGGGGCACAGTTCAAGAACGGGAAGTCGGCAGGTCCCGGGCACTGAACAGAGGAGGTGACGAAGTTGGAGGGGGTCAGTGGCGTGAAGTTGCTGGTGCCCGGACAGAGACAGGGAGTGAGATGGAGGTGAAGAGGCTGTCCTTTTTGCTTTCTCACGATGAGGCTACGCCCCATTGGGAGAGCCGGTGACAGGGAACTGAACAACGTAGAAACTGTTGCCAGAGGTAGAGACCCATCCAGAGAGGTAGATGCAGTCAGGTAAGTAGGAAAAAGAACACCAAGGAACGCCATGAAGTTAGAATGACGAAGGCAGGGAAAATGGTCCGGTGTTCTCTCAGCGTGCAGAGCATAAGGAACAAGGAAAGGCCACTGGGCGTCAGTCACGGGTGGGGCCGCAGAACAGGGTCGGGGACCCGGATCACAGGAACCCACCGTTTGGGAAGACTGACGTATACTAGTCAATGCTCCTTTCACCCGGAAAGCCGTATAAGAACGGAAGGCTCTTTTCTGCCTAAATCTTCATTTGGATCTAAGGAAATCAAGGAAAACCAATGAGCCACTGAATGAGCAAAGGCCAAGCCTGCCGTGAACGCAGCCAGTGTCTGGGAGAGAGGACGGTTCCAGCTGCAGGCCAAAGGCCTGGCTCTGGGGCCAGGGTCAGTGGGCCATTCCAGCGTGGAATGGCTTCATCCTGAACCACGAGACGGACGGCTGTCCCCAAGTGAGCCGCCCTGTGGCGGAGGAACCAGTCTGGCACAAAGCTTTAGGGATGGTGGCAATTTGGGGTCGGAGTCTTTGCCAAAACAAAGCAACTCTGAAATGAGAGGAAATTTCAACTGACAGGGGAAAAAAAAAAAAAACGAACCCAGCAGGAAACCCAAACTGCTGGGCAGCATGTGTGCCTGACTGGCCCTGAGTCAGAATGTCCCTGTTGGTCTCGAAGGCTGAGGCCAGCTCTGCTGTCCTGCCTACGTGGGCACACCTGCTCCTCCCCCGCAGTGCTCATTTCCTAGAGAGGTGTCCTTGGCTGGGGCTGGCGGAGGTCTGCGTCACCTCTGGAACGCAGGAGCT